ACTCAGTTTGTATTTCAAACATTCGTTGTGAAATAAAAATCAGATATCATTCATATGAGTTCTACTTTGAATGAATGGTAACAAATTGCACTTACATGGAACACTGTCATCCCCACTGGTATACATCGATGTTTCGCCTTGAGACACTTGCCCTAAGGCTCTTCAGTACCAAATTGGATAACATTATATCAAGATGGAGTAGTAGAAAGCCAAAAACTTTCTTTTCCAAAAATTAATCACTCCTAAAAATATAACCCCTTCAATTCATCTTTAATTTGTTATGTATTTCCTATATGTTAGTGATTATCTCTAATATTATTTGTTTTTTCATTTAGAATTATTACGTATAAGACCAAATAATGGCTCTTCGAAATAGGACCTTTGTTGCTATTCATAGAACTCATTCCGCACTTTCCGATTTCCAAGTTTCCGAAGGCATCCTGTTGTTATATATCGGTCTCAACAATTTTATACATATAGTTTTCCAGATGATCTAAAAACCAGTACAGTTACGCCTATCGAAAAAGTTCCAAACATAAAAAAATCTGATGAATATCGGCCATTTAACAGTTCACCTTGCGCTGAAAAACTGCTAGAATCGATAGTATATCAACAACTGTTGGAATATTTCAATAAAAAAAAAACATACTATTCGCAAACCAATCTGGTTTTAGATCTAGACATTCATGCGAATCCGCACTTCAGCTTACAGTTACTGAATGGAAAGATAAAATGAGTAAAGGCATGTACACTGTAGCAATATCTTCAGATCTCAAACGTGCGTTCGAAACGGTAAATTGTAAAATATTATTCAAAAAATAAAAAAATGGCATTAAAGGAAAAATACTTGATTGGATCAGTGATTACCTTACAGAAAGGAAACCGGTAACGAAAATCAATGAGTTTGTCGCAACAGCACTAAGCGTAGACCACGGGGTTCCGCAGGGAAGTATTTTAGGGCCATTGTTATTCTTAATTAACATTAATGATATCAGCAAATGTAATGAATGTGATTACGAACATCATGAACTCCTACCACGTAGTAACGGCTACATCCATCAATTTATTCATGTGAATGATATCTGATTTTTATTCCACAACTAATGTTTGAAATGCAAACTGAGTAGAGAAAAGTATCTTCTGTATAATTCAGTGTTCATATAGAAGTATTTGTTTCGAAAGAATTTTTTTCTTTCGATATCAAAACGACAGTGAAACCACCGCGCATAACTTTGTGAAAATATAAATCAGTTTCTAGTTCTGAGGTACTGAAATTTGAATAATATCTGAAATTGATTTGGGACTAAATATCTGAACACAAAAAGTGCCTGCAATTAGCACATCTGCAAGATAAGTAGATAGATAGATAGTCGTCCATCTGGTAGGATTTGTTTCTGTACCAGATACGTATCAAGGCACCATTGGTGTATCACACAATTTTCTTCGAAGGTCAGTTAACTTAACTGCACAGTATGACTAATTTTGAATGTTGTAAATCAAAATCCTTTCCGAATTCGTATTATATCTGCATTGTTTGCTTAAATATCTATCACAGGAGTTGTGTTCAAAAGAACAAAATGAATTTCATCTTTGTGAAAGGCTTTCAAATAACCTGTTATGATCATTCTGAGTTTAACGCTAAGATGAGCATTCTGGAGCAAACTGTTAGTACATTGGAAGAGTGCAGTACCTTGAAAGAAGCCCATATTGAAAATTTAATAATTAAAAATGAAATGTTTTCAAAAGAAGTAACTCAAAGGGAACATGAATTGAACGAAATTATCAAGCAACAAGAAGAATTAATTATTTGGGATAATAATGAGATAGACACGCTGAAGTTGTTACAGGAAAAAACTCGTAAATGCACTGAAACAAAGTTCATCCAAACAGTTCAAAGTGTAGTCATACGAATATAATTTTTTCATCTGTACCTTATGGTAAGCAAGTTAAATTAAATGATTTCATTTACAAATTCAATGTCAAGCTCAATGAATATACATACAAATTGAATTATTATGCCGAAGGTGATATCTCTTTTATTTATTTGAATTGTACGAAAGGCACGATGCAAAGTAAATAGGAAATTGTCAAAACAATTTCAGATCTCATATTCAGACATAAACAAACAAAAAATTTGAAATCCCCCACCATAACGAATGAAACCATTCAAGGTGTTTTAGATCCCCCCATGAAGACACTAAAAAAACACTAAAAAAAGTTTAGAAGATGAAAGAAAACTATGTTCTAAGAGTTCCTATGATCCAAAAAGATCATTTGAAGAACATAACAATNGACTTGTAATGCGGATTCACATGAATAATTTTTACGAAATCCAGATTGATTATTTTTCAAAATTTCATTTTTGATCAAGTACCTGCTTATAAACAGCTAGTTCAAGAATTTTTTTCTATTGGTGGTAATGTATTGATAGGTCTATATTCACTGGCCTTGATTGTTTTGTTTACCTTTTGAATGGGAACTATAGTACTAACTTTTAAAGGGTTTGGAATATCAATTGAATATCAAATTGAAACGCTAATCCGTACAGGTATTGAAAATTTCGGAAGAAAAAGTCCAATCAGTCAGTAATAAGACTTTAGCAGAGTATTTGACCACGAAAAATTACTTTCCAAATCATAAAAAACTCAAGAAAGTCTTCGACAGTTCGATTTCATTGATCTCAAGTATTATGTGACAAAACGAGTACCACAGGGTTTTGTGTTGGGTCCCATACGTTCCATTTTAAAAATATACATGATTAGTATACATCTGTGAATAATACTCACTTAACAATATATTTATGCAGATAGTAATTTAGTGACTGATGAATACAAATTATACCGCATTACAAACTATTTGTGATGACGCTCTTGAATAGCTGATTCCCTCAACTGCAATATACATGGAATTCATTTCTTAAGATTGGAAAAGTTTTATACGGAATTGAAATTCTTCTCATAGAACATTGATATTATTCAATTGATGATTATCTTGATTTGTGACGTGTTGATTTGTGATCTTTATTTATTTTTTGTACATCGTTATTACTGTTGACTATTTTTTTACGATAACTGTTCGTTGAAATTTTCAATATTCCATAATTTTAGAATTATTACTGTTCGATTTCAGTAAGATCAGAGAAATTAATATTGAAATGATGATATTCGAAAGTCATCACAAGCGGTGATGTTTTCATTAAAGACTGATATCATAGAAATTTCAAAAAATTACTATTTTCAATATTGTTTCTCATAGTTTCACATATCACATAATTGAAATTTGAACCCCTTTATGTTGACAGATTGATCTGATATTTGGTACACACATTTAGTTCCGATTACAACACAATTTAATGAAATTTTGATACCCATATTCTACCTCAATATGGATATCAAATGACAGGGCTTGACTAGTAGAATAGTAGTACACTTTGAAAAAGATACAAAATGACTGATTACATATTTTTTCACAACTATCTCAATATGGGTATCAAATGACAAGAATTTAGGTATCAAATGACAGGGATTTGACTAATAGAATAGTAGTGCACTTTGAAAAAGATATAAAATGGCTGATTACATATTTTTTCACAACTATCTCAATATGGGTATCAAATGACAGGGTTTGACTAGTGCTATAGTAGTACACTATGAAGAAGATGCAAATCCAATAAAATCTATACTCAGAATTAGGATACAAGCATGGATCTCCTACCCAAGTCAATATTTTGTATCGTGACGAGTACTGTGTGGCTAGAAATAATACGTCGTTAGCGATACACCACCCAAGTCAAGGTAGAAGGTTAAAATGTGCCGAGAACTGTGTGGCATTAAGGTGGATAAAAATTATAAACTATAAACTTGAAAATAAAATAAGTGAAAAGAAATTATGTTGAATGGTTTCATTAAAAAAAGATGATAATTATGTAGATAATGTACTAGGTTAGGTTAGGTTAGGTCTAAAGTGAGTAGGTCTATTCGACCCTCCACCGCAACCCGCAAGGGTTTATTGTGGCTCACACCTATTCACACTCGGCCAAATAAACCCAGCTTCTTAACGAAGCCGATTAGTTTGTATGATGAGTGGTCATTCAGGTACGGTAAGAGTACGGATCTGCCGAACTCTAAGAACCTGATTCGGTCCTCAGCGCAGCAGGCACAAAGTATATGCTCTGCTGTTTCATCATTTACCAAACAGAGGCGACACACACTGTCTTCCGACAGTCCAAGTCTCTGTATATGAAGATTCAAATGACAGTGACCAGTGAGAAGGCCTGTTAGACATCGTAGTTCATCCCTACTGTAGTCCAACAACTGTTTGGTATCAAGCTTCGAAGGGTGGATAAACGCCTTGGAGTGAGCCAATCCTGGAAGATTCTGCCAGAAGTTTATAAATCTTCTTGTCATCCAGGTGTTCAATGTTCGTTTGGCAAAGCGATGCCAATAACAGGTTCTGGTCCGATGAAGCCGCTTGTAGCACCCTCCTTTGCAAGAGAGTCAGCAGCTTCATTACTTTCCAGGCCAGTATGGCCAGATAATGTACTAAAAACTAAGACTAAATTTTGGAATGTCCTAGGTAGCAGTCATCACACCACTCTCCTTGGTACCTAATCTTCGGTATTGATCAGATGAAAAGTTAATACAATCGTTGGGCGTAGTATTCACATACGCTACGCCCAATGATTTTATTATTTTATTATATGATCAATACAGTAGCTTGCTGAGGAGAGTGGTGTGATGACTGCTACCTAGGACCTTCCGAAAATTATTTTTTAGTTTTCACTACATTATCTACATAATCATTATCTTCTTTTGAATAAAACTGTTCAACATGATTTTTTTTAACTTTTTCTATTTCCATGGAACTATGGGCTGCACTTCAGTATTTGGGATAACGCCCACCAGGGGGAGTGGCATATCAATCGAAAGGGGACGATGAGAAGAACACAATGGTATGGGTTTTATCGCGAGGAAATAAGAAGTCCCCTTTCGATTGATATGCCACTCCCCCTGGTGGGCGTTATCCCAAATACTAAAGTCCTGCCGAACTATGCACTCAGTATCAAACACATAACCTTACACATGCAACCCAATGGTTGTTATGTTGAAACTCAAATAATTATACAACTGTTTTCACACAGATACACTACTCATGGTTCTATTCAGTAACATCATCCTTTTCGATCTCTTTCCAGATCTCTCAATAGCACCATTGAAACCGTGAGCAGACAGAGTGAAATCAATCCAGTCCTTGAATAAAGCCAAATTAACATAGACCCCTGCAATATTGGATTGTCCACAAGTGAATCCCCACGACACAATCCCAACCTGTTGGTATTTATCACTTGTTCCTTTTACGGGACACATTAGAGGACTTCCTCCATCTCCCTTACATGTGTCTCTACCCTCCTCTCCCCCAGCACAGATGAAACTTTGGTGCAAAGTGAAGTATGCCCCAAGAACTGTAGTTCGAAGCGATTTCACGCAGTTATCCCGAGGAACGATTGGTAGACTCACTTTTTGGAGTATTGGTTGATAGGTCCCTTTTTTGTGAGAGTTCTTTCCCCAGCCGGCTGCGATGCAAATTCCTTGTTCAAAGACAGTTCCTTGGCGAGGCAGGCAGATCAAACCTACGTTTTGCATCAGTTGGAATGGCGCATCTAGTACGATGAGGGCGATATCGTTTCGGAGAGAAGCGGGGTGGAAATTCGGATGTATAAGTATCTGAAAAAGAACGAGATTGTTTGAATATTAGAGGTTTGGATCTCAAAAGGAGAAGAATTATAGAGCTGTCCCGGTCTACCTTTATTCACGAAGCCAAAATATCTGCGAGATTTTGTTCGTACAAGAATAGACGATATCATGTAGAATTTTGTCAGTACACATCGGAATGATCGCATTAATATTTATCACGGTTGTTTGCCAAGCTTGACGCATAGAATAGGTTTATTATTATTCACATTTATTTTTCATTTGTCTCAGCTTCACATTGCATATTGAAACCATATTCAGAAAGCAGGTCTCCATATACAGTGCATTCCATATAAAACGAGCCACCCTGAATAACTTTTGGTACAATGATTTTTAGGAGAAAAAAACACGTCAACAATAGTATACGTTCTGATATATTCACATTTGATGTTACTTCCCCTATCGCACCTCCACCTTGAATGAATCACCCTATATTGTTTCGCATCATCAGATGCTCCGTGATGAGCAATTTCAACAAAGTATAAAACATATGGTATGAAGCTTAGGGTTCGGGAGCTACAAGTTATTTGAGTTGAAAACTAGAGACACATATATGGAAGCAATAAATCAGAAAAAGCGTTTCTTATTAATTCTTGAATCAAAATCTTATGATTGGACAATGAGAAGAAAACATTTTTCTATAGTAAATGTTCCAAAATGTTTCCACCAACTTCCATACAATGGTATAAACGAGCTTCCATTGTCGTCCTGTGTCGTGTGTATGTTTCTTGTGTTCGGCAATGCGAACATTCAATGGCCTCTTGGTTTCACCAATATAGGATTTTCCGCACTCACAGGGTATCCGGTAAATGCAATTCTTGGAATCGCAGTCCGCGTTNGTGAACTCATGTTGATGACGTTGGTGGCTTCATAGTTGTCCTGTTTTCGGTCTGTATTTGGGCATTGTTTCCTCACTAACTTCCCCCACTTTCTGTTGTGGGTATTCTCCATGTCTTGGAGGATCTTCAAGCACGTGCTTTCAATCTTGGCAATCTATGATCATCTTCCAATGTCTCTCTTCTTATCTCTTCAAATTGTTCCTGATTTGTCAAGAATAGATTAAAAAGCGGACAAATTAATTTGCAGATAGTGGTTCCACTAGTAAATTACCGAAAAATCAATTCGGATAATCATCATTCAACAAACAAAGTCCACATCGGACCAAAAAACTTTAGGTATATAAACAGCTAATCCTTGTCTTTTGATTCAGTATCAGTTTGTTTCTCCTGAAGATGCTAACCTTGTTAGCGAAACGCGCGTCGAGTGCAAAAATATCAGTTTGGTGTTAGGGTAATCAAACTCTAGAAAAAGTTTTTAAAAATCGATTTGCAAAACCACTCACTACCTCACCTAACCCCACGAACAGACGGCACCGATAAAGAAATATTGTGAAACGGACAAAAAATTAGTATTCAGCCAGTCCAGCTAGCCGAGCCTTTATTCCTCAACTACATTTGATAGCATGTTTACTAACTATTTGGGCGACTAGGGGCCACAGGCAAGAAATGTTTATGACTGTACTCTTATTTTTATTGCCGTTCCAATTGGGAATGGATAGACTATAACAGATTGTACAGAAGTTCATTCAGGATGGCTTGTTTTCTACTCAAATAATCTTTAGCTTCTAAACTATGAGCTTCAGACCATAATGTATTCTACTTTGTTGGAATCTGTTCATCATGGAACATCTGATAATGCAAAACAATTGATCCATTAAAAAAATGGTGACATGCTCTGGGGGTGCGATAGGAAAGTTATATCAAATGTGAATATGTCAAAATGTGTCCCCCAGTATACTATTGTTGAGGTGTTTTTAAATTTTTTCTTGAAAATCATTTTTCCAAAAGTTATTCAGGGTGGTTCGTTTTCAACTCAAATGATTTGTAGCTCTCGAACAATAAGCTCCAAACCATATGTTTTATACTTTGTTGAAATCTGCTCATCATGGAGCATCTGATAATGCGAAACAATGTAGGGTGATCCATTAAAAAAAATGAATTGATGACAAGCTCTGGGGGTGCGATAGGAGAAGTAATATCAAATGTGAATATGTCCTCCTGCATACTATTGTTGACGTGTTTTTTTATTTTTCCTGCAAATCATTGTACCAAAAGTTATTCAGAGTGGCTCATTTCAAATGGAACGCACTGTATATTACCTCTATATCATGTCTTTTTGATCTTCTTCATATTTGTGAATGTCAAGTTTGGAAAACGAAAAGTGAAAATCACGACGTTAAAAATAATATTTTCCAAGATCCCTCTCAATTTTGAAATTTAATCAGAAATAAAAACGTGACAGTAGAATATCGAGTGAAATGAAAAATGTAGATGGAGAGACATCTTAGTCAAAGCCGCAGGATATTGTCGATTCTTTCAGCTCTTACTGTGTTTCTGTATATAATCCATCAAATTCCGATCTCTTATCTTTTATCGGCTTAACAGAGTACGATATATTATCAAAACTTTCAGAGAAATATAAAATAAAGTGATTGGAGGTCTAGATCAGATTCTTGTCTTTTCGATAAAGGATTGCATTTCTATTGTACTTCAACCTTTGAAACATATACGAGGTCGGTTCAAAAAATAAGATGAACGTTCATATATTTGGGGATACCTTCGACTAGCAATTTTTTATTTTTCATGTCGATGAACTCGTCTCGAACATATGTTCACACTTTCAGATGTTTGGTATGTTCATTTTGTTGGTGAGAGGCACGAAATTCAGAAGTGTTTTGCGTGTTCGGCGATTTTCTGCTATCAAAAAAAAATGAATCAATGAATGTACATTGAATTTTGTGTGAAAAGTAGAGTCACTGTTGTGACTGTACTATGAGCCAAAACAGTGTTAACAAGTGGTATAGTTCATGTAAACGATATAGTAAACCTACCTTCTAACAGTTACCCTTCAATAATATAGGTAGGGAGCTAACTAACTTTGTTATTCAATAATCACTTCTGATTATATAAGAATCACAATATAGAAATTATATTAAAGGAGAGGTAGGTTGCACTATATCGTTTACTTGAACCATAAAAATTATTATTCACCTTGACACTTTTCACTTCAACAATCAACATTTTTCCAATAAAAATGTTAAAAAATGTACGGAGCTGCTTTTTGGTTATATATCTCTGTATTTTAGGTTTCTAACGTTGATGGCATAGTTGGTACGACTGATGCTGTCAATATTCCTAAAGTTATTCAAATGTTTTTTGCCTCCATTCTTTGTGTTTTTCTTATCACTTACGTCAAACTAAAAATCCAAATCTACGAATCTGAAATAGTAGGCCGTGGCAAATACCAACCGTTTTTTTCTGAAATGTCACTAGTAACTAACATAGAAATAGAAGAATGTCACTAGAAAAAGCATTCATTTTAAAATTGAGTTTCATATAAGACCTAGTGAATAAATGCTTGTGTTCTTAAATCTTGTGAAAAAGAAGGCTGAAAAGTTGCCCATTTCTGAATTTTGAAGAGCCGTAACTTTGTAAATAAGGGAGAGCGCCGCTATTTACCACTTGTTATTATTTGTCTGACATATAATCACTGCATGCCACTTTCAACATTTCAAGTGTCTTCGAATCTTTAATTCCATGCGAATGTATGTAGTCCGCGAATTTTGAACATTCACCTTATTTCTTTAACAGTCCACTAAACCTAATAATATTAACCTGAGGGCAAGACATCTTCCCCTATGAAACAACCATCTATGAAATCGACAGAGAACTCAATCCTCGAATAACTAGTTCATCTAGTTGCCCCGTAGTGGAAACTACAGTGAAAGACAGGACGAATCTCGTTCGGTGGTCGGCGTCTAAGCTCAGTTCTGCAACTCATCGGTTTGGGGAGCCACGAGGAGCCTTTCGTCGATTTCTTAGATGGCGTTTTATAGGGGGCGTCATCAACGTCATCATCAGACTTGTTCTTCCTCGGGCAGTAGTGTTTCAGCCTAGCACCACTGATGGTACCTTGAAGGGTCGAAATAGTTCTGCCTGGTGTTGCATCACAAGTTAATCAAATAATTCTTGTACTGTTTTTCATTATCATCATTCAATTTTATCAAGACGGTATATCACCTTTTCCGCTTTCCGGTTTTGATGTGGAACAGGTTCATCTTTACTCTTCCAATTCCACTCTCCTGCTCGAATTGTGAAAGGCCCATTTCCGGAGAGGCAGTGAGCTGCAGTAAGTGCGACTTGAGGGTGGATCAGAGATGCTCCACATCTGAAAATGAAAAAGTTGAAAAACCAAACTACTAAAAATATTTTTCACCGTCATATTGGGTTGTTGAATAAAGCTCTCAAATGACAAACCGAGGACACGTATTTTGAGCTTGGTTGTAAGAAACATATACATGCTGAGTTAGAAGCAGGTGCTAAACATCATATTTGAGAATCCATAACAGCAACTTCAGTGTTGAGTACAAAGCATTGTCATATACTGGTAATTTTGATTTGAAACACATTTTCGATGTGAAACATTCACAACCGCAGGTAAAACCGATTGCTGGTGTGGCAACGCATGCCGTGACGACGTGTTGCCATGCGCAAGCGACTGTGCGATTTTCTGTCCACTGGTTTGGCTACACTGAGCTGGCAAACCTATAGTGTAAACAGTTGTGTTTACTACAGTATATATAACCTGTGTTTCATCGAATGAATAATTTTTAAAAATAATTGAAAATAAAATATGTCTGTCTGTGATAATTCAGAAAATGGAAGTGTGCAGTCTCCTGCGAAGAAAGCCTAGAAGATAAGCCCCGGAGTGGTCGATCTACCGTAATCCAGGACGAAGATTTGACGACACTAGTGAAGGCAATCATCACAAACGGTGCGTGGGATGGCGGAAAAACTAGGTGTCAGCTCCCATGCGGTGTTTGATGGTTTAAATCGTATTGAAAAGGTCACAAAGCTCAAAAATCGGGTGCCCTACGCGTGATCAAAACGACCTTCTTTGGATCGAATCGTCATGTTTGATGAAAAGTGAATTATCTACAACAAGAGACGTTCCCGACAGTGGTTGCACACCCAGGCACTAGCCAAAGGAGAAAACTCATTAAAAAAAAGACCACTGTTACTGTATGGCGGTCTGCGGCTGGTGTCATCCACTATGAATTCCTACAACTTGGCCAAACCATCACAGCAGAGTCCTATTGTGAGAAAACCGATAAAATATGCTGAAGTTGCGTCAGCAGCAGACGGACTGGTCAAAAGAAGAGATCCGACGACGCCCGTCTGTACGTTTCGCGAATCACCGCACCAAAATTAAACGAATTGGTCATCGAAGTTCTGCCTCCTCACCATGCTCCCTAGTCCTCTCGCCAACTTACTAACATCTTTCAATGTACTTCGATAACTTTCTCACCCGTAGAACCTTAACCAATCAGAATCATACAAAACGGCCTTCATCGACTTCATCGAATTCCGACCACACAATTCTTATGCTGACGAAATTGATCAACTTGTGTTACGTTGACAAAAGCACACTGATTCATTGAAGTAGACTCATAAAAACGAACAAAAATTGTGAAACAACCTATAGTCCATTCGGTATTATCTGATAGTGACAAAATTTCAAGAATGCAAATATGTGGTACATCAAAGAGAGCAACATAGTCTCAAGCAAGTGGCACTACAATTCATCCACAAAGTCACTGAGATGTTTCTACCCGCTCTGCCTCTTGAGGACGCCGCTAACGATCCATCAAAATATGAGTTGTTACAAACGACATCAAAAGAGGTGGCCGACGGTTTTTCTTATAGTGCGTTAAAGTAATTATTAATAGGCGTCGGACTGAGGGTATTAATATAAATTTTCCAATGATATATTCTGTATGATGCGAAGAAAATTGAAATATCATGAAAACTAATTTTGTTCAAATAATTTATTTTGAGAAAGAAAATTTATATTTGAAATAGTTTTTATTTAGGATATCTCAGGCTCACCTGTATGTTTTGTCTTCAAGTATTCCCAGCATCCAAGGAAATTCAGCAAACTCTGTATTTGTGTTTCCCAATATTCTGTACCCAAAAGGTTTCTCAAGAGTCCTGTCAACTACTACTCCTTTAGGGATCATTATCCTTTTTCCACATTCTATAGGGCAGCAAACTTTGAGATCTCTTTCAGAATCGGTTACAGGGTTGACTTCAGAATGATTATTTGAACTTCCGGAGTTTTTTCTGAAAAAGTTGAGAAGGAGAGAATAATCATGTATATTAATACAAAATGATGAATAAATACAACTCGTCACGCTCCTTAATATATCTGAACTGGATAAATAGATATCAGGGCTGTATCAGAAATGATAATCAATTTGACAGTCATCAATTCATTCATACTTCCAGAAATATCGAAAAAACTTCAGTTTCACGGGTTTTCCAAAGTTCGACAAAAAAATACATATTTTCATAGTTCACCTGAAGTTGCTTAGTACAATGCAAATGTATTTCCAAAATTCACGCAAAAGAAGATGATGAAGCGAAAAATCAAATTTCAAAATTTTCTGCGCTATATTCATTTTCAGTTTATTCTTCATTTATAGTACCCAAATCAACTTGGCAACAACAAAACCAACTCTCAGTTTCCTACCTTCCACGAAATCCTCATACATAGACTTTAACTACAGTTCAAATAAGTGTACAATACATAGATGCACTTACTTTCATATAGTTTGACCCACTTGAAAGCGGACACCTCTCTAAAATTTACATCTTTTCTCCGATTTCTAAAAACTATATTTTGAATTCCAGAGTTGGAAAAACTGTACTTCGGGACCAAATATAATTTTTTTCTGCAAAAATCAAGGCTTTCTGCGAATATTTTTATAGGTTAAGATAAAAAAATCATATTAACAATTTTTTCAGGAAACATTCAAAATAAGCATTGGACTGAGCACCTCCTCAAATTTCATAAAAAAATTCAATAATAATGATAATTCTGTGGTCAAATCAACATTCATATTGTATCATGGTAGAATGTTAACTGTACAATTCTTAAATGGTTTTCATCTTGGTTAGTTAGCAAAAGTTAGCAAAATCGAGCACTGGAAACCAAAGACTATTGTAGATTATATTGCTGTTGTCAAAAACTGTATTGAAACAGCTATGTCAAATTATGCCCGATCAGTAAGAATTTTTTTAAAGGGGTAGGAATCAGTGATGTATATGTTATGAATACCATAACAGACATCCTGATAAACTTCCAGTGAGCAGCAGTACGGTGATTCGTGTGTCTGTTTTTAACGAAACAGGTTGTGTATCAAGGTAGGGGAAGGGAGGGTGAGATGGCGAAGAGGCTAAGTTGGCGAATCACGATTAACACCTCTCTGACTGCAGGTGGCAGCACCTATCGGATGACATGATCACATGACACGCTATTTCCACAATGTGTAAACACCAAACGCATTCCTCTTTTGTTTAGTGTTTCAAAAGTTGCTTGATCGTGCGCACGCCAATTCTTTTCCAATATTTCGTCAAAAAAAGACTTTTTATCAATTACGGCAGGTAAGAGTTATCTTTTTTATTTTTTTTCCGCACTAAGCCATAGCTATGCTCTTACGTAGGTATTTGCTATTAGCAATATAGTATTTTATTTCGATTCTAATTGTAAAATATGTTTCTTACTAAATATTGTTGGAGGTCAAGATGGCAGATGAAACGAACTCGCCATCTTGGCCTCTATGCTTCATTGTTATTTTTCTTCTTATTCTTAACCATCTCCATATCACCCTCCTATCTTCATCGGTATGTTATAAAGTCCTATTTTATAAATGTCAATAGCAAATCTTTTTTTTTATTTTAGATGAGAAAATACAAAAGAAAAAGGACGCGTCAAATGCTTGGCGCGGAAAAAGTCAAATTAGCTATCGACGATGTTAAAAAAGGCACCAGCGTTAATTCTGCAGCTAAACAGAACGGCATACCCGAGACGACATAGAGGAGGTACCTGAAAAATCCCGCAGGATAACCCTTAAATGCAGAAAGATTCAAACCTACTTTTACGGCTGACCAACTCCTCTCAATAAAAGGCTACGTTGAAGCTCTTGACAGGCGAGCTTTTGGCCTCACAAAAGAACAGTTCGGAAGAATAGTATTTAATTACGCCGAGTCAATGAAGTTGCCACATCGCTTAAGGAAAAACAGGCCAAGATAAAAGCGTGTGTGTGCGATTTCTGTACTTGAATTTTTGTTCATTAAACGCCTTTTTAAACTCTATTGTAATTGAAAATATGATGCTTTATTTGCGATTTCGCAAGTTTCGCACCCTATAGAATAGATTCGCCATCTTAGCCGCATGTGAGTCTAAGATGGTGAATGTGCAGTGAACTAAAGAAATGGAAGTGACAATAATTACGGAAAAACCCTAATCTCATGCCGAAAGCTACCAAGACTACCCAAAAGTAATTTTGCTTCCAAGAAGTACCTTATAAAAATATTGATTAATAACTGTTACGTTGTAAAAAATAGATTCAAACCATCCAGCCAAAAATTTCACACACTCTGGAGGCGGGAGATGAAGAAAGAAGGTTAGAATTCTGTTTGTGGGCTGAAAATGAATATTTTAATGATTGTACAACATTCTTCAAAACAATTTTGTGATGAAGCTACGTTTACTACAAATGGAGTAGTCTCGTCCCAAAATTCAAGGTTCTGGTCTGCGGATGATCCTAATTGGGTTATAAACGCAAACAGGCAATTTTTCCATGAAATATATGTGTGGCGTGGAATAATCCATGATAAGATTATCGGTTCATTTTCATTCAAAAGCACTCTAAATGGCATTAATTTTTAAGACTTGTTTCAATCATATGGTTCTTCTGTACATAATGCAGTTGTTACAAGAGAATGGCTGAATAATAATTATGGAAATCGATGGTTAGGTCGAAATAGTTCTTACATTACGTGGTTGCCAAGATTACTAGGTTTTTTTCTTTGGGATACTGTGAAGCAAAAAGTTCAAAAGTTCACTAGTCCAGACCGCAGTCAGAAGAATATCAGAATATCTACAGCTTGTGCTGAAGCTTAATATGGATATCAAATGACAGAGCTTGACTAGTACTATAGTAGTACACTATTAAAAAGATGCAAATCGAGATGTTTCGGTAATATTCGATTATTATTGTGTGAATTATTCCCTTTTAAATTACGGCCCTGGAAATTGGTTGACTGAGATGAACTATTTAAAAACACAAGCATTTATTCACTAGGTCACCTTCACACCTTATTCCTCCTTCCTTGACACTTTTCACTTCAACAATCAACATTTTTCCAATAAAAATGTAAAAAATGTACGGAGCTGCTTTTTGGTTATATATCTCTGTATTTTACGTTTCTAAGGTTAATGGCATAGTTGGTACGACTGATGCTGTCAATATTTCTTAAGTAATTCAAATGTTTTTTGCCTTCATTCTTTGTGTTTTTCTTATCACTTACGTCAAACTAAAAATCCAAATCTACGATTTTGAAACAACAGTTTTTTCTGAAACGTAAAAATAGAAGAATGTCACCAGAAAAAGCATTCGTATTTAAATTGAGTTTCACATAAGAAAAATGTTGATTGTTGAATTGAAAAGTGTCAATTAAGGAGGAATAAGGTGTAAAGATAACCTAGTGAATAAATGCTTGTGTTCTTAAATAGTTCATCTTGTGAAAAAGAAGGCTGAAAAGTTGCCCTTTTCTGAACTTTGAAGGGCCGTAACGTTGTAAATAAGGGAGAGCGCCGCTTTTTACCACTTGTTATTATTTTTCTGACTTACAATCACTGCATGGCACTCCCAACATTTCAAGTGTCTTCGAATCTTCAATTCCATTTTTCACACAAACCTTGATGCAAATTTTCTGATCGATTTTTTTCGATAGCAGAAAATCATCGAACACACAAATCACGTCTAACTTTTATGCCTCGCACCAACAAACTAAACATGCTATACAGTTGAAACTAAGAAATTATGTGCATCTATATAAAAAATCCCTGAGAAAATGTATGTAGCCCGCGAATTTTGAACATTCACCTTATTTTTTTAACAATCCGTTAAACCTAATATCAATGTGAAGGCAAGACATCTCCCTGTACGAAACCGCCATCTATGAAAACGATAGAGAACTCAATCCTCGAATAACTAGTTCATCTAGTTGCCCTGTAGTGGAAGCTATAGTGAAAGATAGGACGAATCTCGTTCGATCGTCGTCTAAGCTCAGTTCTGCAACTTATCGCTTTGGGGAGCCACGAGGAGTCTTTCGTTGATTTCTTAGATGGCGTTTTATAGGAGGCGTCATCACCGTCATTATAAGACTTGTTCTTCCTCGAGCAGTAGTGTTTCAGCCTAGCACCACTGATGGGTCGAAATAGTTCTGCCTGGTGTTGCATCACAAGTTAATCAAATAATTCTTGTACTGTTTTTCATTATTATCATTCAATTTTATCAAGACGGTATATCACCTTTTCCGCTTTCCGGTTTTGATGTGGAACAGGTTCATCTTTACTCTTCCAATTCCACTCTCCTGCTCGAATTGTGAAAGGCCCATTCCCGGAGAGGCAGTGAGCTGCAGTAAGTGCGACTTGAGGGTGGATCAGAGATGCTCCACATCTGAAAATGAAAGAGTTGGAAAACCAAACTACCAAAAATATTTTTCACCGTCATATATTGTTGAATAACCGAGGACACGTATTTTGAGCTTGGTTGTAAGAACATATACATGCTGAGTTAGAAGCAGGTGCTCAAAATCATCATTTGGGAATCCATAACAGTAACTTCAGTGTTGAGTACAAAGCATTGTCATATACTGGTA